GTGCTGGATAGCCCTTCTTGCAAATGTACAAGGGCTCATTTACCACAGGGCTTGACACTGGGATAAGGGTGCCACCAATGATGCCAATCACTCTGGGGATGTTGTCAATACTGTAGAAGTTGATTGGCCAGCTGGATTTCTTTAGGAGTTTGGGGGAAAATCAGGATGTTCTTCATAAGCTGTAATCAGGAACCATGTTGTGGAGGAAGTGATCTGAGGTGTGCAGTGGAGTAACCAGCACATGATCAGTGGAGCAGTGTCATGTGTAAATAAGGTCCAGTTGGTTGCCTGATTTGTGAGTAGCCGTAGTTAACACTCGCTTGAGATCAAAAGAGGCAAGCAGAGTGTGAAAGTCTGCAGCCTGAGATTTATCTAGGTGGATTTTGAAGTCTCCAAGCATAACTAGGGGAGTACCATTCTCAGGAAAGGTTGAGAGCGGCACATCTAATTCTTCCACGAAGTTACCTAGTGGTCCTGGGGGTCGATAAACAACTATAAAATGGATTTTAAGAGGGTGGGTAATAGCGGCTGAATGTGATTCAAAGGAGCTGCTGATACTCAGAGATGGTAAAGGATTAAATTTCCAATCATTAGAGATAAGCAGACCAGTACCTCCACCTCTACCAGTCAGACGGGGGGAGTGGGAAAATTATAAATTATTGGAGAGTGCTGCAGGTGTAGTCATGTGTCATATGTCATTTGAAAGGTCTCATCGAGTGGAATAAAACAAGTATAATTATATAATATTTGGGGCTTTGACTAAACTTGAGTGAGGCATTACTTCAAATTCAAAACAACAATTTCAAAACTGAAAAGAGCTAAGATAAGGGCTACCTTGGTTCCAAATGCTGTAACTTTTGATTACTTCATGATATCACCACAAATACACATGTTGGGGAAGAAAGTCATATACACCTAGGATGCTTTGAGGGTGAGTAAAACACAGGCTAATTTTCATTTTTGGGTGAACTAAACCTTTAAATTTGAATAAGCTGATCTATTGCATGTTAAATGGTGGTTGCCTAGTCTATGAATGGTACACTCCTCTAAGCTCACAGAAATGGTTTGACCCAAGTCCTCAGCAGCCAATGACACTGACCCGTTCAAACTGATTTTTAACGCCTACTTCACGTGTATTTAACACGTTGAATACACGTATTTAACGCACTGATTTTTCACGCGTAAACGACACATATTTAACGCATTAAATACGTGTTGTTTACGCGTGAAATACGCGTGTTTAACGCGTTGTTGACGTATTCAAATTCACGTGTTTTTGGCCTTTTGGCCTTCCATAGAAGAGAACCGCTCCAGCAGTAGGCGTGTACGTTCCTTATTCGGCTCGCTGCACACATGCTGCTCTGCTCGTGTTCATCTTCAGTTCTCTCTTGCAGTTCAGTCAGTGTACTGTTTGAGTAAATGAATTACTCCGGGGTATTGGTTTATTTCGACTCAGAGGGAGTTTCAGCCACGTTAAAAAAGGGAATAACTTAAGTAATTTGTGGATTAATGCTTACTGGAGACCGTTCTAGTCCCATCTGGTGAACTGGTTCAACCGGCTAACTAAGAAGAACCGGTTGAATCGAATGATTCGTTCGCGAACCAGACACTATTTGCAAATGTATGTGCAAATATGGGTTTTATATGGGATTGTCCGCGGGTTCCATAATGGCCCCATGTCAATTGCCCACATGGATTTCATATAGGATTGCACTTGTCACAAGGTGGGACCCAATTGGGCAACATGCACGAGACCCATCTCGGTCCCAGCTTTAACCCAGTTAACATTTGTATGTGGGGCCCATGTGGTTTTGAAATGGGCTGAAATATGGGCTTTATATGGGATTGTCCACGGGTTCCATAATGGCCCCATGTTAATTGCCCACATGGATTTCATATGGGAGTGGACTTGCAACTGGTGATCCGAAAACCGATGCAACGGTTCTTGACTCGAGAACGAGAACCGCTCCAGCAGTAAGCGTGTATGTTCGTTGGCCGGCTCGCTGCACACATGCTCTGCTCATGTTCATCTTCAGTTCTCTCTTCACAGCAGTTCAGTCAGTGTACTGTTTAAATAAATAAATTACTCCGGGATATAGGTTAATTTCGACTAAGAGGGAGTGTCAGCCACGTCAAAAAAGGGAATAACTTAAGTAATTTGTGGATTAATGCTTACTGGAGACCGTTCTAGTCCCATCTGGTGAACTGGTTCAACCGGCTAACTAAGAAGAACCGGTTGAATCGAATGATTCGTTCGCGAACCAGACACTATTTGCAAATGTATGTGCAAATATGGGTTTTATATGGGATTGTCCGCGGGTTCCATAATGGCCCCATGTTAATTGCCCACATGGATTTCATATAGGATTGTTCTTGCAACTAGGTGGGCCCCAACTAGGCAACATGTGCAGGACCCATCTCGGACCCAGCTTTAAGTTTTCCCAGCCAACATTTGTATGTGGGGCCCATATGGGTATGAACTGGGCTGAAAAATGGGCCCCATATAGGATTGTCCGCGGGTTCCATAATGGCCCCATGTCAATTGCCCACATGGATTTCATATAGGATTGCACTTGTTACAAGGTGGGACCCAATTGGGCAACATGCACGAGACCCATCTCGGTCCCAGCTTTAACCCAGCTAACATTTGCATGTGGGACACATCTGGGTTTGAAATGGGCTGAAATATGGGTTTTATATGGGATTGTCCACGGGTTCCATAATGGCCCCATGTTAATTGCCCACATGGATTTCATATAGGATTGCACTTGTCACAAGGTGGGACCCAGTTGGGCAACATGCACGAGACCCATCTCGGTCCCAGCTTTAACCCAGCTAACATTTGTATGTGGGACACATGTGGGTTTGAAATGGGCTGAAATATGGGTTTTATATGGGATTGTCCGCGGGTTCCATAATGGCCCCATGTTAATTGCCCACATGGATTTCATATGGGAGTGGACTTGCCACTAGGTGGGACCCAACTGGGCTGCATGTGCAGGACCCATCTCGGTCCCAGCTTTAACCCAGCTAACATTTGCATGTGGGACACATCTGGGTTTGAAATGGGCTGAAATATGGGTTTTATATGGGATTGTCCGCGGGTTCCATAATGGCCCGATGTTAATTGCCCACATGGATTTCATATGGGAGTGGACTTGCTACTAGGTGGGCCCCGGACCTATCTCGGACCCAGCTTTAAGTTTTATGCGGGTACTACATGGGCTTGAAACAAGGGTTGTAAGTGGGATTGTTGGCAAAACTGTATAGCAACACTACACAAATAAAATAGCAAAAACAATTACCACGGCAGAAAGCAGTAGAGAGAAAAGTGAGACTGAATTCCATTCAAATGTAAATTTTATTTAACAACAACAGAACTAGAACAGTTAGAAGCAGCAACTTTTTCAGTAAACCTTAAACTGCAGCCATCTTTTGGTGCATTCTTGAGGCCCTCTGTCCTCCTCTGTCTCTTGCCCCAGTGAACCATTTTGACAGTGCCCTCTCAGCCTCTTGCTGGCTGACCTTTGACGTCAGCGGATTGTTCTTAAGAGCCTCTGCAAAAACAAATGACTTTTTAAGATAACAATATACAAGTTAATTAACATTACAAATAGGGATGGTCTGACCAATTGGCTACAGATCAGTATCGGCAGATAATCACATTTTGTATGACTCAATCGGCAGTCACTAAATTTGGCCGATCTAACAAACTGATGAAAATTTAATGACAATGAACTTTAGCACCACAGTCGTGTCATCAACAGTGTGGAATTGTATCAAGGTCTCAAGAAATAAATAATTATTCACCATTTGCCGTGTATTGTTTAAAGAAATATGTTGAGGAACTCTGGCTGATGGATTTTCAACAAACCTCTTTGTCTAAGGTGGGGCTCAGGCAGCTTCTCCACACGCTCACAGCAGAAAGCGACAGGGAAAATTAGCGTGTGTGATTATCTGCCTCTCTCCTTCTATTTTTTTTAATATTTTTTCTAAAGTTTTAATGTACTGCAACAGATTTTCAGAGTATAATTTCATATGTCAGGCTTTACCAGGGACATGCAGAGAGTTCCTCAAGGGTAGGGGCTCAAATGTAAATATATTTATATATATATATATATATATATATAT